GTTGGTAATGAAACGTCTTTGAACAAACAAAGGCCATTTCGCGACTTCATGTCAAGCATCAGGAGATCAAATAGTTGTTGCACCAGGGCTTGGCCGAGGTGTCTCAGAAAAGTTCTGCAAACGCGGCACACAAGAAGTCACCAAATCGCATTAACCTTAGATTCACAACTACAAGGGCGAATTGACCAACTTCTGTCAAACCCACCCAAAGTCAGCAAATAGCCCATGAATGTGTCTTTTTCAGGCATGTTGCCCATCGATTAATCCAGTTGATTGTGTCCATGTAGTCGAACTGCTCCATCCACCTCTGCCAGCTGCGATCTGTCAGAGTCAGCACAACGCAGTCCATATAGCCAACTCCAGCCTCGGATTTAACGGTGGCAACGAATCAAAGCCGCTATCAACCTCTGACAAATACTTTCTTGGAAGTGTGTGACTGCTTTTAATTGCCTTGAGCTTTACCGCAATACAGCCCAGGCGCCATGAAGCGTGTCAGAACCACAACCATGAAGTCCACCATCACTTTGCCAATGGCTGCATAGATGATCACGTAACACCATCCGTCTCGAGTGATGCCAGTAGCTTGAAGAACCGCCACTTCATGTTCGTAGTTTCTTCTCAGCTCTTCTTGCGAGCCTTTCTCTGAGGAGATGTTTGTGTACAAGAGACCTGGAAGTCTTGGCATGGGCTTCCCACAACACTGAAGCTGAGGCCATAATGCTCGATCAAAGTTCCCAGGCAAAAAGCCTGTTGAAGCCATTGCATTGGCAATGGTGCGCAACTTCACGTGGTCTTCCTTCCTCCTCTTTTTTCTGTCTTCCTCTGTTGGCTCTTCCTCTGGGCTAGGGTAAAGCCTCATTTCATCCTCCTTGCCATCACAAGCTTCGAACTTTAGGGAGTCTCGGCTCTTTCTGTGACCCCGGCGTAGGCAGCAACAATATCGGCATAGAGCTTGCACTCGATCCCGGCAGCCTGTCTGGAATGAGCAGAGACCATTGACGTAACTCCCACTGAATCAAGCGAACGAAACAGAATCAAACAAGGCGCTGCTAGCTTCCAAACACCCTCGTTTTGGGGGTCAATGTGGAACGTTTCGGGTCAATGTGGAACGATTCGGCAAACAAGCGTACCTCTCAATAAGAAACGTCCTACTGTACCAACATCCCCAGTTACAACGAAAGGCAAAGCACGGGCAATGGAAGAGGCCTTTGTTCCATGAAGGGCGTCACACTTGGCACAGGTAAATTTAGACGAAGCCACCCAAGATAAACACCCAATTTTGCCTATTACTATGCAGTGTTCAGGCCTTTGTGGCGTTGGCGGATGATGAGAATTCTCATCAGAAAGTCCACCAATAGCAGTCGCATGAGAATCATAAACATCAGCACAATGAGAGTCACCCAGGGATAGAGAATTGTGAAAAGGGGGAAGTACACAAGGGCAACACCCCATCCAAAGGTCCAGCAACGCACCAGCAGCACCACGATGTAGACCGAGAAAATCAGCTTGCCCATCTCATGACCACAGGCCCAGATTCTTCTACCCCAGCGACCGGCTCCAAGAGCGATTTGCTCTGTCTGTTCATCCCCGCTGGCTCCGTCTCGCTTCTTACTCCAAGGAGGGGTCGATGTCAGCCCATTCCTTTCCTTCATCCTCTGTATCAACAAGATCAAACGGCCCGGGTCAAGCATTGAGGGTGCAAAGCCTTTTTCTTCGCCCTCCCTCTCCTCATCATTCCCACTATACGGCCTTGATGACAGCGATTCCGCGGCCAACTTCCCACTCTGCTCAGCATCCTGGATCTTCTTCATGTACGCTCCCCAGCGCCCTACAAAGTCATCATCATGAGCCTTTCTAAAGTTGAGATAGTCATTGTACACCAGCATCAGGACAAACTGATCAGCGTATCTGCTCCACTGAGAGCTGGTAGCAGATTGCACCATGGAGAGCATTAATGTGCGGAGGACCGTTGACAAGCCAACGTGCCTCGAAAATTCGTTGGCAACAATCTTTTGCAGCTCTGCCAGTTCCTCTGTCCATGTGTAGAGAGTCCTGACCAGGAGGTAAAGAGTGAATCCCATTTTGCCAATACGACTGATTGTCTGCAAAGTGCCCGTCCGCCCAGGTTTGTGGAGAGCAGGCGGCCCCATGATCAATGCTGTTGACGCTGCTCCAAGAATACTTGTAATCAGAATCATCCAGTAGGGTTGTTTGCTCGAAACCTTCACCAAGTCTTCAATGTCTTCCGCACGCGGACCTTTCTGATACACGTATGTCAACCCAAAGAAAATGAAAGCGAGAGGGAGTAGGAATATGAAGGAGTGGCCCAATATAATGACAACCACAATCACAAAACAGCTGCATCTGTCCCTATTTCTGTAAGCGTCAGTAGCTTGTCGCAGGGAGGTGTGCGTCTGACGGCCCACACCAACTAATGCCAGAAGGACATGAGCAAAGCAACTGAATCCTCCTTCGCCACGGCTGGCTAGTGCTTCCAGTGTAGCTAAAGAAGCGGTCGAAAATGATCTGCCTGCCTTAGGCTCATGCCCAACACTTTCCCCCTCTTCCTTCTGGTATTTGACGACTTCAGCATCTGCATCGGAAAAAAGAACTCTGGGCCGCTCCTGTGCACCCTCCCTTGACGAGCTGGCAGGTTTCTTTAAGCCTCCCTTCTTCTCATCTCCCACTCGATGAGGAGAAAAATGTCTTCTGCAGGTTGGACACTGCACGCACGGATCCATGATTGCTTCTATGCTAAGATTCGATATCATCACCGAATGGGTCCCTGCCGCAACTTCATCTCCGCTATCACCCTCACAAATCGCATAGCTGCCCCTATGAAGAACAGAATCTCTTGGGAGCGCGACAACACGGCTGTCGCAGCCTTGTGCCTCATTAGCAACCTGGCACTTAGGCCGCACTGTTCGCTTTCGCTTGATCTTCTTCCTCTTTCGGGAAACCTTCAACGCGTCTGATTGCGGCTCTAGCTGCACCTGAAGCACAACCTCCTCTGAACCGTGCTCTCCTTCAATCATGCTCTTTTCTGACTAAAGGCTTTGGCTTTGCCATAGCTTGGGAGGAAGCCAGGCAGAAAGAACTTGTCGGCGAACGTTTCCCTAAAGTTGTTTGTTTCATTGACCAATTGGAAGGAGCTTCAAAACAACTTGCGAAGGAGTAAACCTTCACTATACAGATTGAAACAACTGATGACAAGACCAACACACAGAACGAACATACAGTGTTGAACCCTGCCACCCTGTGAAAGGTTGGCCGTTATAAGTTATAGCCTGTATCTATGCATCATGCGCACAAATGTGTTTCAAACAAAATATAGTGTCTATACAACATTGCAGGGTGGATCCTGGGTAGTGTCGTGTCAAAATCAATTGCACATGCAAAGCTCAAGAATCAGTGGGCGCTCCATTTTCAGAAAGTGTCGCGCTGTCACATTGTCACGGAAAGCAATGCAGTGGGAATGCAAGTTTCTCTGTTGACTTGACGTGGTACTCTTTCAGAATCCCTCTAGTGAACCACCAACAATGTTGCAATGTGCCACAAAAACAAGGAAGAATCCTCGGGGAAAACCAGCAATCTTGATTGCGTCATCAGCACTCTACCAGCAAGACAGGCAAATCATGTACAGGCTGAACCCTTCAAAGCCAGTGAATTGCACTGGCTGGCAAAAGGCTTCAACGTCCTGGCAAGGCCACAGGGAAGGCAAATCAAAGGAGTAACGAGAGTGCGCAATGTACAACCCCAAACCATGCTCATGGCACACAAAGCGAGCGTCAATGTTCCCCAAAACAACTTAGAAGCTTTACTTTATAGAAGAAATGATACAAGCTCAAGATTTGTGGAAGAAAATAACAGCCACAAAAACTAGCAAGCTGCACTCCTTATTCCCATCTCAGCAGCTGCTTGCTAACCGCAAATGAGTCTAAGCGTGTGGAACGCCGGATGACACCGCTGACCCAAAGCAAACACTATTGAGCATCGGGGGCCACCTGTGAGCATGCCACAAGGGCCCCCTTCGCACCTGCACAGCGGGCCTTGAGCGCAATTAGCTATGCAAGGGAACTTGCATTGTCACCGTCGACTGTTTGAACATCACCATCGCAAAGCACCTTAAAATGCACATGCGTGCAGTGTTGATTGAAGCATTCATATGACACCCCAAGCCGGGTTTTCCTGCGGTCTGCTGCGATCCTTTACAATAATATGACCGCCAGCGCTGTAACATTGCACTGAGCACATCATACGCTGTACTTGGCCACTGTCAGAGCATTTGGATGCATTTAAGTTCCAGAATCTTGGGGTGAGCTTCTGAGCTCTGACAGTGGCTGCCCTCCCACATCACCAGCAAGTTCAGCCGAACGAGACTTGGGGATCAGGAGCAAAATTCAATGGGTCCACAGTGCACCTGCAACTTGGAAAGCTCTGGCGGTTTGACGTCATTAGCGCTGTTTTGCAACAATTATATACCACGTGTTAGCACTTTTCACATTTTTGGGTCCTAGCTATGGCACACAAAAACGGTTGGCGCCGGGTTCCTTCTTAGGGCCTTAGTGGCCTGCTACTGCTGTTTTCATGTGTTCATTGGATTTGTAACTTGTGCCGCTCGATGCTTCACCTTGCTTTCAGCTCACCAGAAGGACATCCGATTCTGCCTGTGAGGCAGCATGTTCATCGAATTAGTTTTTCAGTTGCCTGGTGTCAAGCAGCTTGTTTACAAAGCCTTTCAACAACCTTCAAGCTTTCCGGTGTCGGTTGCGCTGTCCAGTATTTAATTGGTCCAGCAAAGCCGAGCACTAACTGGAGTCTTCGAGCTCCAAAGTAGGCCTCTAGCTTCCAAATTCGCGCCATGGCACGCACCCGACCTCGCTCCTTCCAGTTTGCAGATTCGGAAGCACACAAATGGATGCGAGTCGGAAGTGCACACTGTACATACCACAAATGTACCCAAAGGCCTTGAATTAAGAGAGATCAGACATCTTGCGTTCACTGGCACCTCAGTCCCTTTTCTGTCGCCAGAGCTTCCGTAGTTGGAATGTCCTCAAAAGCGGCTTCACTGTCCAACCCTCTCCCAACTGAAACTTCAACTGGGGCTGTGTTCGTCGCAAAAGGGAGGTGGACTTCTTGGCAGGGGGGTCGAGAAGTTAATTTCAGGTCCAAGGCGCAAAATGAAGTGGAGCAGCAATAGCACCAGGCCATAGAATAGGTAGACGACTACGAGAAAAATCACTGGACCAACTTTCCAGTGGATCATGCTGTAGGAATCTTCCCGGGGAAAGGGAAAATCTGGCACAGGTACTCCAAGGAAACGACAAAGTGGATCCCAACCTTCCCGAATGTTGTAAATCAACAAGGATTCCAGCGGCACCGCGTTTTTCAACCTTTCAATATGCATCTCAAAGCCATCCAGGCAGTCTTGCTTGTCCTTCCTGGAAAGCATCCGCGGCGGAAAACTGGTGATTCCTGTGCACTGAAGCCTCTGGGAGACCAGCCGCCAGTATTGCACAAAGGGCTGGTAAAGCACAGTCAGTGGAAATGGCTGCGTGATGGGAAAAGATGGGAATGGTGGCGGTGGCAAGATCGCACCCCATCGAAAGTGTTCCCAGTAACTCTGGAACCTCGCATCGAATCCGGCTTCCGAGAGAAGCAAAAAGCCGACCCTGTGCGACTCACAAACAAGCAAACGTAAGCTAACTATCCTAACAGCGCCCTTGTTCCTAGTATTCTGAAGAAATGTCTGTTTCTGACCGATGCACGTTCACGTCAAAAAGAAACTAAGCACATCAGGCTTTCCAGCAGTTTGCCATCAGCTACCATGCTCTGCTGTTAAGGACAGAAATTGTCCTAGTTGTCTTGCTCCTGCTGTGGAATGGGAACACGACGACTGCAAACCCTTGTGCTAAGCCAAAATATTGTGTGAATATCTGCCTTGGAACCAAGAATGCTTGTCTCTGACTGTGAGAATGATCTTGGCATTGGGATACTTCTCGTGAAGCTCCACACCATAAGCAGACCAAGGGATATCCACGAGAGCTGTGACGTTCAGTCGCTCGATGTGGGCTAAAACAGGCAGCAGCACATTGAAGTCCTTCAGGGTGGAGGCCATGGCTAGTAGTAACAAAGGGCATCGCTACGAGGAGCAAGGACGCTACTAGGGGCTCCTGGCCTTACTACTAGGAGCAAGAAGCTACTAGGAGCAAAGGGCATCCCTACTAGTAGCAAGAACGCTACTAGTAGCTCCTGGCATTACTACTAG